AAGGAAGATGATTAACTATAATAAAACAGAGTAATTAGTAAGAAGATAGGAAAATAGCCAGCAGAATTGATGATAATCAAATCCAATGACTGGTTCTTTGGGGGAGTGGAGGTAGAGAGGGTGGGAAACCACAACAAATTAAACATTCCTCTGGTAAGTCTAAAAAAGGAAAATATAAACACACAAAGGGAGGTATGAGAAAGGGTTATTAATTGAAATGCCATTAAGGTTTAAGAATCTAGTTTTATGCATCTCTAAAATATAGCTGAAGATCTCCAAAAAAGGGACACTTTTTCTATGAAACTATAAATTGCCAAAAAAATGGGGGAGAAAATCTGAATAGACTTATTAGTCTTGGAAAAAGTAAAAACACTGTCAAAGTTTAGTAAGTTCCACCCCCAAGGATCTGAGCCACTGTGGATTAATTCTATCACACTTTCAATGATCTAGATGATTGATTTCAACAGTAATGGAGATGTTACCTTATTTTTACACTCCAGACAAGTGAAGTGAGACACAGATAGTAATCTACATGCTATTTAATCTCTTCTAGAACAAAGACAAAAAGCTTCTAAATCTTTTTTTAAATGGGACAGCATAACTGAACACTCTCTTAAGATTATACATACGCATATTTTCAAAAATTCACTAAAGCTGAAAGGAATACTCTATGACCAAAAAAGACATTCTCCTTATTTTTCAAAGTGACTCCGTACATTAACAGGTAAAAGGGACAGGAACATATGATGACCTTGATAAAGGCCAAAAAGTCATTTGATAAAATTTAAAAATCGTATGTTCTTTATATATTGTTTTCCAGCTTGTTAGTTTGAATGCTTGGTTTATCTCAGTATTTCTTATCTAGTAACTGAGTTTAAGGCTATGAAAGTCTCTCGTTTCAGTGCCATCCACAAGACATGCTATGTGGTGCCGTCACTGCCACTCTGCTCTAAACAGTCTGTACTCGCTCAGATTTCCTCTTTCGTTGTAACTTGGGGGAAGTGTTCTGCTTTGCTTGTTTTTTAAAATTTCCAGGTGGATATAGTTTTTGGCTTTCTCAGTTGCCTTTGATTTTTTTCATCACATTATAGTCAGAGAATGTGTCCTGTGGGATTTTTACATTTTGGAATCTGGTGATATTATCTTTCCAGCATAAAACATGGTCAATTTGGGGGACTGTTCCAAGAGGGTGTGTTAGCACAAAGTTCATATACAGCTGACAGATCGAGTTTATTAACAGTGCTAACCAAATAGCTAGATTCTTCTTTAATAGAGAATCTAATAGAGTCCAATAGACTTCAGATTTCTGAGATAAGGATTAACATTCTGCTATGATTAGGAATTAATTTCTCATTGTATTCTAAAAACTTAAACTATATTTTGAGCTATGTTATTAGCAAAATAAAGGTACAGAACTATTTTTATCATCTTGACAAATCATGCTTTTCATGGACTGGTGCTTTTCACCTTGCCCTCTGTTTTGATTGACAACACTACCACCTTTCCTTTCGCTAGCGTTTTACTGGTATGTTCTTCCACCCTTCCTCAGCCTTTTGTGTCACCTTTTTTAGATGGCCTCTTGCAATCAGCATATACACAAACGTGATAAAATTTGTAATTCAACTTGAAAATGTTCATAAATAGCAGAATTTAACCCATTCAAGTTCACTGTGACAAATGGTACGTTTAAACTTACTCCTGCCGTATTATTTTATACTTTCCTTTTTTTTTTTCTTTCTTTTTTTCTCATGTTTACTGAATCAGGTGAGCTATCTTGGTAGTTAACACAAACAGAATTCACAGTTCTTTCCAGACACTACCTGTTTTGAACAGTAACACCATGTAGCAACAGCCACAGAAACACATCTCATTTGTTTGCCCCAAAACCCCAGAAACAGGACTTACCCTTTGGACTAAGTCCCTGTGGATCTTGACCTTATCTCAGAAAGGGTGGGGGGGACACAGAGATGGAAGAATGCTAGGGTTAAAAAAGACATTTTGCGGACAGGCAGGATGAAGGCTCAGGATGACTGAATTTAAACAATGAGATGTTACCTTAATGTTGTACTCCAGGCAAGAGAGGTGGGACATGAAATTACACATGAAAGAACACACCACCAGGAAATATGAAATAGGTTTATTTGAGAACCGAAACAGCCTACATCAGCACTGGGGACCTTACCCCATTTTACAGTAAGAACTGCCTCCTCTGTAACCAAGAGACTCGGTTGTAGACCTAGCATTTTCCATTCCCACAGCTAATTCTTTCCCCTTCATCAGCCCCTCTGAATACCTAGCTGCCTCACAGACTTCAGCACACTGTTCACATAACTGTTCTCTTGCACACGCCGCACTATACCACACCCAGCTTATCCACTGAGCACAGTGCAACAACACATGCATATGTATCTTTTCATTTTATGCCAATGTCCTTTTCTGTTTCTTCACAAAAGGGCATAGTGTTATTTTTCCTTCCATTTATAATACACATTGTTTTCCATTCATTCTAGTAACCCACAACGGTTAGAACTCCTATGCACTCCTTTGCCTAAAATCGGCGCACAATGGAGTAACCGTGAGGCTATGTCAGAAGGTTCTTCTCGGCCAGTGCTCTTTATCTATCAGTCACAAACTGAAGGAAAGCGCTCTTTCCCGGAAAAGTGCATACACCCATGTATATACAAAATTTTGCACACATTTTAAGCAGCTCCTAGACCTCCCTAAAAGTCATCTACAGATCCTAGAGTTTTAAAACTCAACACTCTACTGTAATTCATGACACAGAGAAGACCTGGACCAGGACCAGCAAAGAACTGAAAGGAGGGAAAGTCAGTCTCTGAGTGAACCCATTTTCAGAAGCAGCATTTAGGAAGTATAACTGGGACAGAACACATAAAAGTCCATAAAATGTATAAATTTACCTAATAGTAAGAGAAATCTATATAAGCTGTTTACTCTAAAAATGTATTTCATTTGCATATGCCTAAATCTGAACAATAAAATAGCTTTGGTATAACAGTCATCTTCCTTTGAGATTTATGCCAAGTTCTTACTGGCATGTATAAACACAGGCCCTGGGATCTTTGGATTACGGGAATAAAAAAAAACAGTAATTCATAAGTTTTAATTTACTTATGACCATAAAATTATTCTACCTTATGTACATTGAAAATGGAAACAAAGATATCTGAGGCCTCTCTGCCCCTTAGGTGTTTGGGTAAACTTGGCTCAAACTCCGTTATTCCCACGGCCTGTGAAAGCTTGAAGCTTTCCCAAAGACGTCTGCATATCCCTTAGAGCTTCCTCTGGTAGCCACCCTCTTCTGGCTCCTGTATTTATTTATGTGTGGTACTTATGTTTTGCCCCATTTCAGTTGGGAGACAGCACTCAGTCCTGAAATCCGCTCATACCAAGCATCCCCTGACTTTCAAGAAAGATTCTGTGGTCATTAAGAATTCATATACGAGAGCTGACAACTTTATACCATCCGACTCCACTGGTTCCCTGTCCTCCACTCCCTTTCCAATTCTCTTTTTCTTGTCACGGACTATCCTGGGACATTCAAGTTCTCTCATTATGCTGAGCAATTACACCCTCTCCAGGTCCTGCCCCCAAATTAAGATACCCAAACCCATCACAGTGCTCAGAAGAAAAAGAACTCCAAATAACATGACTCATCTTCCTTAATAGGCAACTGGGAGTAATTTTATTATATTACTAAATGCTAGGCACTACATGTTTATTTAGTTCTCCCAACTACTTCATGAGTTAGGTATTTTCAAAACCATTTGATAGATGAGAAACCTGAGGTTCAGAAAAATTAAGAAACTACATAAGGTCAGAATAAGAGCTCTATCACCTTCATCTTTCCTACCCATTTTTATTTCTAATCAGTGTTTCTTACCTCAGCTTTGCTATTTATATTTGGATCCTGCCCTGTGGTACTATTAACTTTTCTCCTCTCTTCCCTAGTTTGCTTTTACCACTAAGTACTATTTCTGTCTGCTTCTGTTCTCCATTCACCAATTTTCTTCAAATTCCTGAGAAGAGTAACAAATTGTACAGAAAGACTGCTTGACAAATAATTTTAAATTTTTTAGAATAGAACCAAGAGTTAGAGGGTCACTTGAAAGGCACTGCACCCAAGCTCACAGAACACAATGGAACCCCTCTGCCACTTGCTCGGAGAGCCTGTGATGAGCTGTGCCCACATTCATAGAGCAGGCTGCGTGGATGCTGGGCTCTGAACTGATAGAGTTCTATCTTCAAGTTGCAATTTGCCATTTACTCAGACTCCCAGGTTAGAAACTGTGAAGTCACTTTTGACTTCTCTCACACTCTAAATCATCCTAGCAGACACCAGGAGTGACCTAGTGGGTGACCTGTGAGCCCACAGGTGATCTCTCTTCCCACCCCGCTCACATCAGAAGGGCTAGTTTGGGTTGCTCCCACCTCAGCATTGGAACCGGAATACAGACTTGTCCCTGAAAGCTAGCAGATGCCAGAACCACTGTCAGAGACTGTTCCATGGAACATGGGCTCCCTACTTCAGCTGAGAGGATTTAACGCTTTGCCAGGAGAGGGCTACAGTCATCAGGGACTAGCACAGGGCTAAATGGGTCACACAGGGAAAATGAATTAGCTGGTAACATTTTAAGATCATTAAATTTTGTGTAAAAACCTAGGTGGTTGTTTTCTTTTTTTTTTTTTTTTTTTTAAAGATGACCGGTAAGGGGATCTCAACCCTTGGCTTGGTGTTGTCAGCACCACGCTCACCCAGTGAGCGAACCGGCCATCCCTATATGGGATCCGAACCCGGGGCCTTGGTGTTATCAGCACCACACTCTCCCGAGTGAGCCACGGGCCGGCGCGGTGGTTGTTTTCTTGAAAGAACAAAATATAAGGGAACCTTAGGCCTGTATTCCACCATGGAAACATAGGGCTATAGCTGAACAGAGGCTGTCCTGTCAGCAGGGCATGCTTCCTCCAGTTTGCCAAAGCGGTGGTTGTTTTCTTGAAAGAACAAAATATAAGGGAACCTTAGGCCTGTATTCCACCATGGAAACACAGGGCTATAGCTGAACAGAGGCTGTCCTGTCAGCAGGGCATGCTTCCTCCAGTTTGCCAAAGACTTTCCTACTATTCTTTGAATTATTCCTGACCTAATTTAATCATTTGTTATTTGTTTGGCTGTGACCTCTGGACCAGGTGTCCTCACACCTTGCTTTCCCTGGGACAGTCCCAGCTTAGGCCTATTGACCAGTCTTAAATATTAATAGCACCCCCCAGACACACCCGTTACTCTCAAGTGTCCAGTTTGGACAGTAAATTATGTGGTCACCCTAAGCATAATGTACAAGCCAATCTCCCACCACACACACACACACACGCACACCCATCACCACTGAATTCACACAACTATGTCAAGCACAGAACCCTGTTATAAAGTGATTTTATTAAATTGATTTGGACATACTGTAGGTCAAATAATATTTTCTGAAGATAACAATTATGGACTTTAAAGCTCGACATAAAATTAGTAGCTTCAAAAGTGTTAGTCATATTCCCCAGCAACAGCATGATAAAATAATTCAACTATGTAGAAATATAGAACTCTAGGACTAGCTGGAAACTCAGAAATCATTTAGCCTAATGTCCTCATTTTGTGAGAAAACTAGACTCAAAGATTAAGCAATTTGCCCAAGCTCACATACCTAATAGTAATAAAGCTAGAAATCAAACCATTTTTCCTAAAACTAAAATTTATCAATGATATTTCAACTGGTTCTCTATCAACTAAAAGTCTAGGCTTTTCTCTAATGCTCCACACTACTGTGACATGAAAGTGATAAGACACTACAGTAAATCGTAGTTGTGGAATTCAGGCCTGGAAGGGGCTTTAGCAAATAACTAAGCCAGCCCTCTCTTTGTAAAAAGGAGGAAAAGTATGTGAAGTGACTTACCAAAGGCTTGTTAGCAGAGTTGTCTGGATTAAAATCCAGATATTGCTGTCCCCTCCCCGCTGCTCCCCAACTCCAGCACCTGGCCTTCCTTTTGTTCCTTAAATGTTCTGGCAAGTCCCCCCACCAGAGCAGCATCTGTGCTCTGCCAGCTGGTGCCCCATCCTCAGCCTCAGCTCCAAGGCCACCCCTCAGAAAGGTCTTCTCTGACCGCTAGCTAATGTCACCCCACCCCCACCCCACCCCACCACTCTAAAGCATCACCCTAGTTTATTTTCTTCATAGCACTTAATCACTATCTCAAACTACATTATTTATTTGTTTACTTGCTTATCATCTGTCTCCTCCACCAGAAGTAAACTCCACGAGTAGAGATCTTGTCTTATTCAGTGGTATTCCCAGCACCTAGCACAGTGCCTGGCACATAGGAGATGTTCAATAAATATTTGTTGAATGAATAAAGGATGGATTAATAGACATCATGCCTCAAAAGGAACTGATACACAATACTGAATGAAGGGCTATCGAGGACTCCTACACATTACTGTCAGAGACTACAGAAACAGACTCAATATTAACAGTGCCTCCTCCTTGTACCCCCTGCTCATAGGTCTCCCACAGCTAGTAAGGAGCTCCATGTTGCAAAAGGAGCCTGACAGGGCAATTCTGGATGGAGGAAAGTTCTCACTTTGCTTGCCTCTTCCTCCCTGCTATTTATATTCAGCTATTTCCAAACAATTTAAGTTAAAAATATGTGATGCAGCCACTAGAAAATAAGTCTGACTAACAGAGACACAGTGATTAGCAGAATCCAAACTAAAAAAGGGTTAAAGAAAAGTTCAAGGGCATGTATGTCTGCCAATGATTTCTCTGATAGGCCAAGTGAATGGATATCATGAGTCACCTGAAATCTAAAATGAAATTTAATGCCATCTAGGAAGGGTTGGGTATTTATGGGCACTTTCAGGACATATAAAGTGGGTTCAGAAATAATGGCATATATGGAAAGATATGCAGGAGCTGAATCAAGTGGTAACCTCAGAAACACCAGAACACTACCTCAGTGGGAGCTGTCCATTTTCAAATGCATTAACCAGTATGCTTGAAATCAAGAGGAAAGAAGGGCATGATCTCTTAAAAGGGGGAATATCTGGGATAACTTAAGTAAAGCAAAGACAGAAGGTGACTCAGGAGGCTAGGCAATGATCATGGTCTTTCTGTGTAGTATTCAACCACTGAGGCATCGTGCTGAAATTCCAGGAAACGCACATCTACAACTGGGAACCTGACAGGGGAGTCCACATTCAGAGTCAAGTTGTGGAACACTCTTGGCATGAATCAAAAAATCAACCTCACATATGCCTCCTCAAAAAGAATGTTCTGCTAGGGATTGCTGTAAATATTTCTTGGGTCAATGTTGTATTTACAGGGTTTCCTTCCTAGTGGCACTTATGGGTTTTAAGATTTTTAACTCATAGCAAAATGTTTTATATAACTGATATTTTGAGATGGTTTCTCTCCTTTGTGTGAACCCTCTGGTGAATGCAGAGACTTGTACTCTGACTGAAGGCCTTTCCACACTCATCACATTTAAAAGGTTTCTCTCCTGTGTGGACTCTCTGGTGGATGCAGAGGCTGGAACTCTGACTGAAGGCCTTCCCACACCCACAGCACCTATAGGGTTTCTCTCCGGTGTGGACTCTCTGGTGGATGCAGAGGCTTGAACTCTGACTGAAGGCCTTCCCACACTCATAACATTTATAGGGTTTCTCTCCTGTGTGGACTCTTTGATGCATGCAGAGGCTGGAAGTGTGCCTGAAGGCCTTACCACACTCTTCACATTTAAAGGGTTTCTCTCCGGTGTGGACTCTCTGATGCATGCAGAGGTTTGAACTATTACTAAAGCCCCTTCCACACTCACTACAGACATAGGGTTTCTCCCCTGTGTGAACCCTCATATGAATTTGAAGATGGGAGCTCCAATTGAAGGCTTTGCCACACTCATAACATTTATAGGGTTTTTCCACTGTATGGATTTTCTTATGTCTATTAAGTTTTGTTGTAGTGCTAAAATCCTTACCACAATCATCACATTTATAGACCTTCTCTCCTGTGTGGTCTCTCCAATGAATATGAAGTTCTGATATATGAAAGAAACCCTTATCACACTTGTCACATTTATGGGGCTTCTCAGCTGTGTGAATTTTCTGATGCATAAAAAGATCTGCTCTCTCAGAGAAAAATTCCCTACACATGGGGCACTTGTAGATCATTTTTTCCTATTTGGTATCGTGACTTAGAGGAGAAAATTTCCTTACAACTACTAAAGTTACAGGGTTGCTACTTCATAAAGTCTCTTATTTGGCCATTGTGGCAGTTTATCTCAGGCTTGCTCTATTGGGTAAGATTAAGGTCGGCCTAAGCTTTTCCCTGCCTGTCTTTCTATGGGAAGTTTCTTCCTGCATAGTGTTCCTCACTCAGTATTATTATTGGTTATAAAGTGACATTTACCTCCACATGAATTCTGTAACTCATTAACATAGAACTTCCTTTTAGATCCTGAGTTGTCAACATTCCAAGGGGCTCCAATGTGCAAACCTTATGTTTTTAAGCCCCTGGAATCTTCCTCTTGTAGAATAATCTCGTACTTCTCACTTCTAGAAAAAGGGCTGCACAGTGTATCCCCTGTGTTCGAGGGTAAGATACTGGTGGTTGGTCTTGAGCCCCTGTAGCCTCCCCTTGCAGAGTCAGTATGACATTCTGCCTCCTGCACATCAGAGAGGACACCTTTGCAGGAAGCAAGTTCTTCAGGTTCCAGGTATGACCAGCCTTGCTTCTGGGAATTCCCTATATAGGTAGCATGCCAGTCTCCTGTAACAGAAACATAAATAAATACATAGAAAATGCCTTTTTTTGTCTGGAAAACTGCTATTGATTCCGTAATTAATTTTATATCTATGTAACAGCAGTAACACAAACCTTTTTTGATCTTGAAGAAGCTCTCTTATCTTCTGAAGAGACGTATCTCTTGGACTCACGGTCTGAAGAAGAGAATTTTTAGATATCATGTTCCTGTTCATAGCCCAAATACATAATCCAACTACAACCACTTGTAATTGTCTGAACGACATCAAGGGAAATATTGAAAAAGAAAAGTAATCCTCAAAAGACCTACATATGAGTATGAAAAGCAGCTGTCTAAAGGAACTACAAGGAAAACTATCTCTGCTTTCAACTTCAGAAGGCACAGTGTTGCTGCTTTTGGAGATGAAACATCATATGTGAGTTGCATTCTAATCTACAGAAAAAATAATATATGACACATTGTACCAAACATCATTCCCCTGCTTGATTGTCCTCAATGGTTTCTTACTGTAAAGTAAAACCCAAATTCTTCATCTAAAAATCAAGGCCCTGTATGACCTCGTCCCCGCTCTCCCCACTTCACTCCCTGGCTCACTGCTTCCTGCCACTGGCTTTCTTTTTCAGTTCTCAAACCCCCACACTGTTTCCTGCCTTGGGTCCTCTGTACATACTGTCTACGGGTTTTGAGCCACTCTCTCCCAATGCCTGGCTTTGTGTCAACTGCCCTCCCCCAGCTGAAGAGGGTCCCTGGCTGGACCCTGAATCTCATGTGACTCCTTTAAAGCACATACAACTTGTAATTATCTTATTTGTTCCCTGGTTTTCAATATGTCCCCTGTACTAGGATGTAAGTGCCACAAGGAAGGAACTTTGTGTGTTGCTCACTGTCACATTCTGGCAAAGGGGAAGCATTCAATTAATATTTGTTGAATGAACCTATAGAGTACTTTAGGACACCCCACAGACATAATCCTGCTTCATTCTGGTAAAGGAGATAAAGGTACACTTCCCAGTGCCTTATTTCCAGTGTTTTGATAACCTGCGGGGGACAAAATACACAAGTAGAATGAGGAGAAGATAGAAGAAGAAAATAAATCCCAAAATATTCAATCTGAAATCTTTTGAAGTTTAGGATCATGTCTTAGCAATCTTTTTACTTCCTGCATTCTATACGCAGTAAGTGACACTTCAATTAACTAATTAAATGAAATCAACAGATTCTCTTAAAATAATTTTCAATAATATGTTCTATACAAAGATGGGGTGCATAGCTGATTGAGAAGATTTAACATTAGAATGGCAAAATAAACCAGACTGCTTCTATGTGGAAGTGTGGGATTATAAAATTCAACTAGACACCCCAAATTTCTGCAAAATACAGTCATCTGCCTAGAAAAATTATATATGCATCTATCCTTTGTCCTAGTAATCACACTTCTAGAAATCTATCCCAAAGATACATTGGCAAAAATAGGAAATGACTGATGTACCAGGTTATTCACCAACACAGCATTTGTCATAGCAAAATTATAGGCAATCCAAGGCCCATCCACAGAGGACTAGTTGAATCAACTACAGGACTTCCTCACAATGAAATACTGCTTAGCCATTAAAACTTTAAAAAAAAAAAAGAATGAGGAAGAGCACTATGCAACTGATACATAGTGAACTCGGGTAATTCTTTTAATTAAAAATAGCAAGGTACAGAATAGCATGTATTCTGTGTAACTTTTTATGCAAAAATGGAAGGGAATGTGAAAACATACATATCTTTGCTTATATATATTAAAAAAAAAACACAGTGAAAGATAATCCAAAGCTTAATTTGATGATTACCTATGAGGGAGGAAGAACACAATAATGCAATGTCTTATTAATAATAATGAAGTTATCATTAAAACAATAATAATAATGAAGTTAAAACTTCTCTGAAAAATAAGTCCTAGCGGTATACAGCAGTGCTAGGCATCTATAATCAACTATAACTTATTGCATATTCTCAAGTGGCTAGAAGAGAGGGAGCGTAAATGTTCTCATCACAAAGAAACGATAAATGTTTACGATAATTAATTTGCTGACTACCCTGATCTGAACACTACACATTGTATACATGTACTGAAATATAACTCTGTACCTAATAAATATCTACAATCAATACATTTCAACTAAAAGACAAATTTTAAAAAAAGACTTCTCTGAAAATACATTGTTATGTAGTTTTGACTTTGGAAACATATAAATGTTTATTTATTCAAAAAATAAAATGAAATAAAAAAGAAAAAACAATCCCTAAAATTTTAAAACCAAATTAGAAGAATGAACCTTAACCATCATGTTGGTGTCATACCCACAAATTACTTTTGAGCACACTAAGACTGACTGTACATACCTACAAGAACATATTCTATCAACTAATAAAGCTGCAAAGAACTCAAACTTCAATAGTTTAACTGTTACAATAACAATGGTATTTTTATAAAGTAGGACAATGCAAATAAGTAATTTATGTTAATACTATAAGTTAGGAACCAAGATTCAATGTAAGAAAAATAAGATACAAGTATAAAATCAAAGTCAAGATTAAAATCCTGTAACATAAAATATGATTTAGAAATATCAGTTTGAATACATTTTTCTTTTAGCTCTGTCGACCAAAAAGGCCTGGAAGCAATAGGAACTGACAGTAATGAGCACACCTAGACCCCTTCCCTTAACACCCTTACCCACCAAGAGGCAAAGGGATCCTTGGAGGAATGTTTCAAGGCCAGAGCAAAACTTAGAAAATCAGCTGCGACATCTTGTTATGCCAGAAAGCAAGAGTCATGCCAGAGGAACACAGAGCCAGCTGACAAAGAGACTACCATTGGCCAAAAACAGACAACTGAGCATCAAAAGGAATAGAAAATGCAATCGATCGAAACATATTATATAAACCCCAGGTATTCATAATGATTACAAGGGGTGGAGAAGAAAGAGACAGAGGCAGAGAAATGGAAAGACTCAGGCAATGGACAAAATTGGAAGTAACAAGGGCACCAACTTTTTATCGTGAAAATTGGCAATTAAAAGGAAAGAATTAAGCATTTGCCCTATGTTTCCTCTATTAACTCTCTTTCAAAACAATGAAACAACCCAGCTAACATGTATGTACCCTTGATGAGATATCTGATTCAGACCATGATAAGCACGCCCAAAGGCTGACCTGGAACTTAACATCGCCAGGATCAGGCTGTCATCCCCTGAAGCCACTCATCAATCTTAGCGTAACTCAAAGAGGAACAACCAGACATGCTTGCCTCCTGCTGTGATGCAATGAGAAACACACAGAGCCACCTGGAACACTCTTGCCAAAAGACTGAATCAGAATCTAATTGAGCCTCTGGAGCTAATTTTTACTTAAAGGAACTGGGGGAATAGAGGAAGTACCAGGAAGCAAGCAAGAAAATATCAAAAGGTGAGCCAGTCTACAGGACAACTGCTCCTTTTTCTGCAACAAGTAAAGGGCATGGAAAAAAGGTTGTGGGGGCAGGGCTGCTATAGATGAAAGAGACTGGAGATATAACAATCAAATGTAACAGTAGGACCTTCTTTGGAATCTGACACAAATAAACCAGCTGCTAAAAGGAGGCAGCTGAGGAAACATGATTAGGGACCGGAGATCAGATTACACAAGGCTACTGTTAACTGTGTGATAATGCCATTGTAGTTATGTGATCCAATGTCTATAGCTTTAGAGATACACTGAAGTATACAAGAATAAAACGACACAATGTCTGAGATGTATCTTAAAATGCTTCAGCAAACAAAAAAAAAAGGAAAATTTAAAAAGGGCAGACAAAGCAAATGTGTGGCAAAACCATTTTAATTGTTGAATCTAGGTGATGGATAAATGGATGAATAAAATATTCTCTCTACTTCGGTGTGTGGCTGAAATTTTCAAAACAAAAAATCTGTTAATGTCGAGAAGACATTCTTTTCCTGCTCTTCTTGCAATGGCAAACTAATCCCAGGACCAGTCACATGGCACAGAGGTATAACTTTGAACTAAACAAATATAACCCCTGGGCAGCTGTAACTTCCCCCAAGGATCCTGAACCACAGACTTCTCCAACAGCAGGGGAAGAAGGCAAGGCTCGAGGGCAGAGACAAGCAGATCTCAAAGGAAGCCACGCTGAGCCCTGACTCCACCCTCCCTTCTCCAGCTAACACCAGACAAGTGTGTCTTCAGAACCCCACTGGGAAATCAAGCAGCAAGGGCAGGGCACTTATACTGAATGGCCTCAGACAGCGCACTCCACGCTCAGTGACGGGTCCCCCGGTCATCCTACATGACCTCCCAGGAGAGCTCCTCTTGAGGAGGAATTGGGCTTTGCCATTCCTTCCAGGTAAAATGCTGAACAAGTCTGTCTCACCACATGGTGGGGGGGAGGGAAGCTATGTTCTGCAGGGGGAAAAAAAGACACACCAAAAGAAACTCCAGCAAATCTG